ATCGGCGTTCGAGCTGGCTGTGGCTCGCTGAGCCCCGGCGCGGGGACGCGGCCGTGTATTACTGCGCGCTGGGGGCCACGGGCAGAGGAGCCGGGGCTGCGGCCGGGCACGAACCGCCGCGGGCGGGGCCGGGCGGGGCCAGCAGGGGGCGCTGCCGCTCCGCCCGCCGGGGCCGCCGAGCCCCGCTTGTCCCGCTCGACACCGCAAGTGGCTTTGGGTGCAGATTTTTGCAGGATTCAATGCAGATTTTTGCGTTAATGATGTGAGTCACATGAGCACGTGTGTGTTTGTGTGTCCCTCCTCACAAGGGAACTGCTGCTCACAGCAGGGATTCCCTCTGCTGCTCTGCCCACAAGCTCCACAAAGCAGACAGGACCGGGAGATTCAGTGCGGCTGAACAAATCAAACCTGCTAGACATCTGGCCACAGCAGAGACACTGAAATGCAACCTGCTGGATCTTCATCCATCTCTATCCTGCTGCAAAGCTCAGCTTTCCTGCTGGTTTCAGGCCCCAACAAGGATGTCTTCATAACAGTTTGGATTCTTGGCTTAATTTGGTCTAGAGCATTTGGAGTTCAATCCCATAGCTGGAACTCTTGTCTCTGTTCCTTACCAGCACAAGACACAGCTCTTGTCGCAAGTGCTAGGGAGTACACAAAGATGGGGTTTGCCTTTTGAGTTCCTTCTTGGAGGGAAGGGAGCATTACTGGCTCACTGTCAGCATGGAATCCAGCAGAACCCCCCTGGCTCTTTTCTGCCAATCTGCCTAACAACTGGGCAGCTCCCAGGACATACTGGTGCTTGGGGTTGTTCCTCCCCAGCTGCAGGACACAAAAGGGGAAGCACGAGCACCTGACTGCCCTCCCACAGGCACCAGCTCCTTCCTACTTTGGCTTTCAGAGTGCTCACATTGGCTGGGCAGTCTGTCACAAACACCTGCACCTTGCACTGAAATCACTGATCCTGTGGGTTGTCAGGGACCTGTGAACCTGGGCACCTTCTGGGCTGTCCTAGTTTGCCAAGCAATATGTTTTCTCTTTGCCATCTATCTTCTGTTCTTTGGGCAGTTTTCTTTATCTCTTCCACAACCCATCCTCCCTCCAGGAGATCTCTTCTCTTCATGGCCAGTGAGTGTCCCTGTACGGCTCATAAAATTCCATCATTTCATTGGGAGATGCTCCGCCCAGGCGGAGGAGCCAAGCATTCCTACTTGGATATAATCTGAGATTCTGGGACAGCAGAACAGCCTTCCACTGGATTCCCAGAGGAATAGCTGCCTCTTCCACTGAATCTTCAGAGGAAGACCACATCCTTCTACAGGATCCCTGCTCCAACAGAACCACACCTGACACTCCTGGAGGGCTGCAGCCACAATTCCAATTGGACTGCCACCAACATCCTGACCAACAGGGTGTCAGGTCATATTCTGACTCTGTTAGTGTTGTTTTGGTTTACTGCATTGTTAATTTTATTTTTATTTTCTTTCCTAATAAAGAACTGTTATTCATGCTCCCATATCTTTGCCTGAGAACTCCTTAATTTCAAATTTATAACAATTCAGAGGGAGGGAGTTTACATTTTCCATTTAAGAGGAGGCTCTTGCCTTCCTTAGCAGACACCTGTCTTTCCAAACCAAGACATGGGCATCACTGGGTCCTCAAAGAACAGTGGCTGCTGTTCAGGGGATGTTCCCAGTGCTGCTGTTTAGGGGATGATCCCAGTGCTGCTGGCCAGGGGATGTTCACTACCTGGGCAGACTTCAGTGAGGGTCTTTGATTTACAGGGCCACCCTCACCTTGCAGCCTTGCCTGATAAAAAGTACATTGCTGCAGAATCAGATGCCCAGCAATGAAGATCTCTCTATTTTAGTCAGAGTATGCATCAAAATGAGAAAGAGCAAAAGTTCAGGATTTGCCAGGAGGCTGGAGACGGAGAGGGGTGCTGCTCAGGATCTGCTCGTTGGCACTTCTCTGCTCACCAGATCCACACACCACGGTTTTGTCTCCTGTCTCTGTCCCCTTCTCAGTCCCTTTCCTTTCCACTGTGCCAACAGTGGCTGGAAAGCTCCAAGTCCTGCCCTTATGCCTTGCACAAGTACAGAACTGCACTGTGGATGGGGCTGCAGATTCCTCCTCCTCAGTTTGCTCTCCCCCAGCCAACACTAAGCCAACCCATTGGAACCAGGGCTCCACCACCCTATTTTAGAAATGTATATGTTCACCCATTAAAACACCCTTTCCCCACCAATCAACTCCCTCCCTTGACTCCTGAGTTGTCATGTGTGGAGAAACACTGAGCAACTGCTCTCAAAATATCACAGGCTAAACTAAGAGAAACCCAAAACTCTTTGAAAAGAGCATGACACCTGTGTTCCCAGAGCCCTGAATGCTCTGAGGACGCTCTGAGGAGCTGCTGTGCTTTCAGAAGCCTGCTCACCATCAAGGAGCACACAAAGCAGACACATTCTGCAGCGAGGCAGAGATGTTACCTTGCACAGTAAATGCTATGAACAGAGAAGAAAGCCCAAGGAAAAGTACAGGAAGCCACTGAGACTGTCCACTATCTGCTGTGGAGACAAGAAAAGGCAAAAGATGTAAGAGCCTCATTCCAGCCCTCCACACCACAGAGGTGTGACCCATGCACTGCACTCTCTCTGCAGGGTGGTGCCTTTTTCATTGTGCTACCAAGAGTGTTCTGCTGTGTGCTGTCTTGTGAAGGAAAAGGATTCTTGAGCTGGGAAAAATGATCTTCACCATGGCTGTGCCAGCGTGTGTCCTGCTAATCCAGTCAGGTGGGTGTATTTGTGTCCTTCCTGCTGTCTCTCATGGTTTTTAGTAAGTTATTTGGAGGTGTCTACCAACAACATCATGATGTCAGGGAGAAATATGGAAGGGGGATGGATATAAATATCTGAACTTTCCATTTCTTTGGAAAGACAGCAAAGATTGGGGCAGTTTTAAACATAGAGCAAGGGAGAGAAGGAAGCAAACTCTGCAGACACATTTATGCCTGTGTTGCAGGTCTTGCTGGAGGTGATCCCACGAAGCAATTCCTCTCTGAGGTGCTAGCCAAAGTTGGACAGCAAGTGGTTCTTCCTTGCCAGTCCAACACTAAGGAGAGTGACACCAATCTGGACGTCTTCTGGTACCGCCAGTTCCCAGGAGATACTCTGAAGTATCTCCTGCAAGCACATAAAACCTCAGGGGAGGACAAGTTCCGCAGAGGCCGATTCTCTATGGTGGTCTACAAAAACAACACAGCCCCCTTGGAAATAGCAGGAGTCTCTGTTCAGGACACTGCGATTTATTACTGCACTCTGAGGCTCCACCTTGAGCTAAGGCAAATTTCCGTTCGTACAAAATCTGTGTCACCAACAGCACAGGAGGGGTGAGGCTCTCCATCCTCCAGCCTCAGCTCTGCTTTCATGCCTGAAATGATCTTCTCCTTCTTAGTTCAGCCTTTCCAACTTCTCCCATCTCAAATCCTGCCTATTTTTCTCAAAGTCCTCATCTATGCAGAGGTATTCAGAGCAGGGACTCAGACAGGCAGGACCATGGCACTCTCTGCAGATGAGCTGAAACATGATTTTTCTTACTTCTTCATACAGAACATCCCACAAGAAAACAATCAACATATTCGGGTGTAACATCCAATTGCAGTGTCAATCCTTACCTGCACTTCCAGGGAGCTGACACTGCAGAATCCAGTGCTGCTGGGGCATCCTGTCCAAAGCCTTGACCAAGCTGGGGGCAGAGTAAGGGGATCTGTGTCTCTGCTTTGCTCCTGGCCAGCTCTAGCCCTTGACACAAGACCCCAATGGATCACAAATCCTCATCTTGCTCCTCTTTGCAGAGCAGCCAAAGAAGACAAAAAGCAGCTTTTGCCTTAATGCCTTCAGCACTGGGCAGGGAAACCTTCTCTGTGCTGCACATAGTGGAATTATCATAATCCTCCCACACCCCAGCCACCATGAAATCTGCTACTTTGAAAAATACCAATGAAGAAAAAGGCTACTGAAACTTTGAAGTACCTAAGCAACTAACAGCACTGCAGGCAAGAGGTTCTGTGTATTTAATACAGTGCCTTGAGATAATCAGATAATGAAAACTGAACACAAGGATGAAGATTATGATAATGATGAGAGCTTCCTCTGGATTGGGCTCACTGTTTGGTAGAGTTGGAAACTCAAAGGCAAGTTGGTTTAGGCATCAGGGCCAAAGTAGAACTCAGCTTGGCCTATTCTATGAGGAGAACTCCTGGAGCCACTGTGGTCCTGTTGCTCCCAAAAGGTTTTACCACCAGGAAACCTTACCTGCAGTACACTGGGCATCATCATGCTGCTGGGACCTGAGAGACACGCTCTTGTGTCCTGCCTAGAACAACAGAAAAAGACACCAAGGGTGCCCTGGAAATTGGACTGGTTTCTCTTTATCAACCCTCAGCTTTTTAGGTTCACAAGTCAGGTGAATGCCAAAGGAGTAACAGGACTGTGGCATAGCATGGGGTGAAGGTGGGTCAGGCAGAGGCAACAAGGACACAGGCAGGAAAATGTGGGGAAAGTTGGGATTTGTGAATGCACAGCAGTCCTGATTTGCAGACTCTAAAGTTTCTGGTATTATTTCCCACCCTAGGAAGGATGACAAGGAGGCTTTCATCCTGAAAGCTCAAGAAGGACTGTGCAGCCCCGAGATGTCCCTACCACCATGTCCCCCTGTTCCTCTCCTGCTTCTCCTAAGTGGAAGTCGCAGCAGACACAGCCCACTGTCACTAGTCGTCCACAGGAGAGCAGCACAGCCCTGCAAGAAAAACCGGCAACATTTGGTTGTGCGGCTTGGGAAGAAGAATGATTCAGGGCTTGTGGGGAGCTCTGCGGTGAGGAAGGAAGCGGTGTAGGACAAGGGGGCCGAAGTAGAGGGAGGCGTTTCCACACTTTGCCCACAAACAACATCGCCGGGGGCCCGGGCCGGGTGTGTCGGGGCGGGCAGAGGCGCCCGCAGCGATGGTGGTCGGGCCGGGGCCGGGGCTGCTGGCCTTGGCCTTGGCCTTGTGGCCGGCAGGTGAGAGCCGGGCTGGGAAGGCAGCGAGCCCGGCCCGGGGAACGACGGACAGAGACAGCGATAGGGACAAGAACACGAACAGGGTTGGGGAGAAGGGCAAAGAGTGGAGAAAGGACAGGAGCAGAGGCAGGGCAGGGAACACGGGCAAAGGCCGGGGCAGACCCAGGGGCAGGGGCTGTGGGCTGGCGGCTGTGGCTGTGCCGGGCCGGGGGCACCGGGACACCGGGACAGCGCCCTCGGTCCGCGGGCGCGCCCTGCCCGATCCCTGCGCTCTCCCTCCGCAGGGCTCTGGGCACGGCCGAGGCTGCAGGAGGCCGGCGGAGGGCAGCGAGCGCCCGGGGACTCCGTCACCCTCTCCTGCCGCGGATCCGGATTCATCTTTAGTAGTTATGCAATTTTTTGGTACCGTCAGTTCCCCGGAAGCATCCCAGAGTGGGTGTCTCTCATTGACTACTTCGGCAAAGTAAAGTACGGAGCAGCAGTGCAGGGTTGGGCCACAGTCTCACGGGACGATTCCCAGTCTCTGTCGTCTCTGGTTTTGCGGGCTCTGCAGCCCAGCGACTCTGCCCGCTACTTCTGTGCCATTCACACAGAGACAGGAAACCCAGCTGAGCTGTAACCGAAACCTCCTGGAGCCTGGCATGGGTGTGTAAGATGGAGGGAAGGTCAGAGTCACCAGAAGCCTGGAGCTGATGGGTCCCAAGTGTGTTCACAAAAAGTCAGATCAAAGGCAGGTGTTCCCGGCTTTAGCTGCACACTGCCAGGATTCCAGTTTATTGCCAAATTGAAACAGAGTGGAATTGTGTGTGACAACAACATCAAAAAGCATTAAAACACCTTGGCCCTGCTGAAGCTTCTCTTCATCCCAGGTTTGCCTTCAATCCAGCACTCCTGATTTCTCTCCCTCTTCTGTCCAAAAGGCACAGGGCCAGTGGGAAAGGGGTCAATTCCTACACTTGTCATATGGCTCCTTCAGAATCACCCTGCTCTAGCCAGGCTTCTCCACAAGCTCCACTTCCCTCAGGCCACAACCAAACAGTTTGTGAGTTTCTCCAAGCATGGAGACTCTACAAGGGGCCTGGACAATCTGCACTGGTGCTTGGTTATGCTCACACTGTGAGGCTGCACTGTGGTGCCATATGCCATAACTCCAAAAAAGCCCTTTCCTTCTTCTTTCTCTGAGTCATATTTCTGAAAATGATGTATTACTGTATGGAATAATCCTTTGCTAATTTGACATCACCTGTCCTGGCTGTTTCTCTTCTCAGCATCTTGTCCATCCTGAGCCTACTCACTGTTGGGGCAGTATGCAAATCGGAGAATGCCTCGATGTTCTGTCAGCACTATTGAGAAATAGCTAAAACATCCCCCTGCCAGGGCCATCAGCAGTACTATTAAAAAAAAAATTAACTTTATCCCACTGAAAATTAGTGCAGCTTTTTGAGCCGCCTCAGGTTCCATTCCTCCAGCCTGCTGAGGTCCCTCTGGGTGGCAGCACAACCCTGCCGTGTAGCAGCCCCTCCTACTACTCTTGCTTCATTAAAGAATTTGCAGGGGTTCATATTTATTCCCATCTTCCTAAAGATGGCTAAAGATGTTAAAGTAGACCCAATACTGATCCCTAGGGTGCCTTGCTAGACACTGACTTCCAACTAGATCTCATGCCACTGACCACAACTCTTAGGGATCCTCTGTCTGTCCAGTGTTCTGTCCAGATCACCGTGTACTCACTCAGTTGAGATTTTATCAGCTTCTCTTAGGAGAACCTACATTGGAAGGACAGTGTTGAAAGCCTTCCTGAAGCCAAGGTAAACAATGCACACTGCTCTCCCCTCATCTACAAAGCCAATCATTTCAGCATAGAAGTTCATTATCAGCTCTGTCAAGTGTGAGTTCTCCTTGGTGAGTCCTGCAAACATTCTTGTACTTCATGTGCCTGGAAATTATTTCTAGGATTAGGTTTTCATCAGCATCTCAGGGCTTGAGGGAACATCCCTGGGTCCTCTTTCTTGTCCTTCTTGCAGATAGTGACATTTACTTTCCACCAGCAGTCCTCGGGTACCTCTCCAAACACCATGATCATTCAAAGGTTATTGAGAGCCGCCTTTCTCCAGACTATTCCCCTTACTTTAATTCCTGAAGAACCTCCCTGATCTAGGACGTTTGGCCCCAGGGGGCGCTGGTCTCTATAAAGTTAGAAGGTATCGCATGAATCTCTCAGAATATGCAGAAGATAGCAAATTTTAAAAGAGATAAGAATTACAGCATCAAATACATGGGATGGGTTTCAACATGGGACACTCTCTAAGAGAAAATCTCTGTATTTCAACACTTCATCATGTCAGGATTTCATGAAGTGCCAAACAAGGCGGCAAAATATAATTCAAGACATTATTTACTGGAGTTCAGCCTGGCCATTAGTAGGAATTGGGTTTGAATATAATGTAGATATACCACACACACTTTCCCTTCACTGAAAAATTACTGAAAAATTTACAATGAATAAGCAATGAGGCTCAAAATTGATTGAAAGCATCTTAAAAATGTCAAGTATTTAATTGTAAATGATCTGTGGTCCAAATACTTCTTCCACCTTAGTGAGGGACAAAAAAATTCTTCCATGTCATGATGGAGACTGTTTTATTAACATCTTGGAAAAGGTGATAGGAAGTTAGAAAATATCATATTTGGGGTGATCCTGGAAACCCCACAATGTCACAGCCTCCGGGGGGACCCTACTCAGGACAGAAAAGATGCACGGATCGCCACCCTGATGATGTTTTATTCTGTTGCAGCATTTAGAAGTTTGGCAGGATTTTCTAAGAATTACTGAGGCGTCAACACCTTTGAAAGGGCCCCCAGAGCAAGAAACCAGGAGAGCGATGGAGGGCGCTGGCAGCCCCGGGACATCAGCCTTCATCTCCCGAGGCGCCTCTGCTGCTCCGCCTACGCAGCT